CAGGGATTACATTCATTCTTTGACCACCCCCAACCCCCCAGTAAGTGGCCACACAAACACACCATTCAATCAAGGTAAGGTTGTTTGAACGTATCCAAAGGCACACAGATTGCACATCTTGTTTCTGCTGAAGCCTAGGAGCTTAAATTGGGAGTCTGAGGGCGCCCTCTCCTGGCCCATTCTATCCCAATTATTAGCCTTTGTATTATGTTAGTGCATTTGACTGTCTTTCCCCACAGGCCAAGGAATCTTGGAAATCGCAGTTTACCCCTTGTGGAACTATAATTTCCAGCACCCTTAACCAACAGCAGCTCCCAAGATTCTTTGGGGGAAAGCCCCGTGTTTTAAATGTGTAGTACGGCGGTGACCTCAGATACCAAATAACTTGGCTGGGCTTGAGTACTATGTACCTTGACATAGGAGGGGGCATGATGTCCTGCCTCAGGTGGCAAAATATCTTGCACAACATCTGGCAACTCTCTCACACACACCCCTCACATATTTGCCAAAGATCAGTTTAGTGACAAACACGTTTGGTGAATGTATAAGGAGGGTTGTGTGTACAGCCCTATAGCCAATGGCCCAACGCCGCCCAGGAAGGACAGATTTGAACCCAGGTCTTCCTGATCCTCACTGGAGCTTACATACACACCATAAATTCTGTTTAAAGCACATGACTGCCCATGAAGAATCCTGGCCATTACAATTTACCCCTTGCAGAGCTACAGTTCCCAGCACCCTTACCAAACTACAGTTTTCAGGATTCTTTGGAGGAAGCCATGTGCTTTAAATGTATGGTGCTTACGTATGTGAATCAAGGTTCATTTCAGACAAAGTCACGTATATCCACAATGTTGCAACATCCAGGTGGTTAAAATAATTTTTAAAATGCAGTACTCAAGAAAAAAACTTTTTTTATTTTATTTTACACACTGGCTTGTATTGCTCATATTCCTGCCCCGCCCCTGTTATAGTGCAAAAATTCAGAAACACAAAAGAAAAAGAAAAGTTTAAATGCACATAAATAAATTGACACACATTTACAGATACATTTAAAACAAAAATAGAAGGCTCCTCTGACATTGGCTGATTGAGCTAGGGGTTTGCACCATGGGTAAGCCAGAGAGCTTTTGGTTGTGGCCAGCGAAGTTTTACTCACAACAGACCCACTGGAATTAACACACTGAAGTTTGCCATGCCCTTTAATTTTGGCGGGTCTAACTCTGAGCAGGACGAGCGCTGGACACAACCCAGTATTTCCAGATTGTTGTTAGGGAGCAGAGGAGTGCCAGGTTTAATCTCCTCCCTCCCTCCTCAAGTCAGTTGCTACGGTCTTTGGACAATACATGCTCAACTCTGGATAAAGAAATGTCCTCAAAAGGCAGCAGGCCTGTGCTGGACAATAACATACTCTGGACGAAAGCACTTCAAAAGTCATGTTAAGATTAGTCATTTTAGGTTAGTCAGTTGTGGGGTTGGATTAAGAAATGGCTAAAGAAAAGCACACAGACATACGAGAGGTGATGGATGACTCCCCCCCCCCCCGTTGGCCATAAAAGGTACTTCTGCTTCACAGTTTTGCTTATCAAGCCCACAGTGTCTCTCTCTCCATTGTTCTGAGTTCACAATTGCCTAAGCTTCTTTCTTCCATCTCCCCGTGTCACTTTGGGCCAGATGGATTCAGATGCTCTCTTCCAGTGATCAGTGGCTCCTTTTAAACTCAAGGGCATAAATAAGTGGATGTCAGTCTCTCTCCCCGTCACCCATGCAAATCAAGATGTCCAGTCTAGTTCCAATACAACGGGGTGTGTGTTAGCAGGGTAACTTGAGGAGCAATTCCCCTGCCAAAACCTTTTCGTCAAAATGTTGCTCATAGGCAACCCCAAAAGAGCATCTTCCAAAAGTGAGGTGTACAGATGACACATTTCAACAGAACATTGTTCCAAGGGGATGCACCCCCAGGCTACAGGAGAAGTTTATTCAAAACAGATGCTTTGTGGATCTAGATGATGGCTTGCCACTCTTCTTGCATTAGGCTGTGGCTTACAACCAGGGATACAGGAAACGGCCAGAGTAAAAGACAGGTACACCTTACCTAAAAAAAGACAAACTGTGGACTAGGCTGGTCCCTGCCAGTAGTACAGACTGATGAAGAACTCTGGATCTTTGGACTGCAAGGAGAAACCTTGAATATCACATCAGAACTGCCCCTTTGCAACCTGTCACCAAGAGCAGCAAGTGTTACCTACCTCTTCCAGCAAAGGCATGTCATGTGTCCCATGCCACCAGAGGCAAGCAAAGTATATACACATAAAAAACAAGCAGATGATGACAGAAGGTAACCAAACAGGCATTGGTTGTTGCAAACAACTTGCCCCAACCACCAACAACCAAAAAGGAACTGAAGGCACTGATAGAAAAATAATAACAATTGTGTATCTTCTCCTAAACCAGGCGTGGAAAACCTTTGACCCTGCAGATGTTGCTGAGCTACAACTCCCACCATCCTCAGCTGATGGCCATGCTTGCTGGGGCTGATGGGAGTTGTAGTTCACAGCAACATCTGGAGCACCAAAGCTTCCCCATTCTTGCCCTAAAATGTATTGCAACTGGCAAAGCCCTGACAAAGCTTACTGGTGGAAAGATTGTTTATTATGCGTGCTCAACTTAATTTTATTTTGAAAAGGTACTTTTGGAAGTAACTCCCCACCCCCACCCCATTCAAAACATGCTCCCCACTTGCTGTTCCATGCAACCAGTGTGTCTGTATGAAGGGCTAAACGTATCAGAAGCTGCGCTTTCCAGGAAAAACAATAGCACATGCAACTTTATGGACATAAATGTTCCCATTAAGTTACCTATGCAGTGCTGTTGGTAAGCAATAGGACCATGAGCTGGTCCCATCCCTGGACAAAAAGGTTTGGCATGAGCTCACTAAGCCAGGCTGGGTGCTCTTTAGTTAAAGCATGTTTAAATGCACATTTAAAGCACATGGCGTTTCCCTAAAGAATCCTTGGAACTGCTGTTTACAGAGCTAGAAGTCCCAGCACCCCTAAACTACCATTACTAGGATTCTTTTGGAAGGGAGAAACCATGAGCTTTAAATGTGCATTAAATCCGCTTTAAATGTATGACACAAATATGACCCAGGTTCCACTCTCTGCAAAAGTTCCTGTACCAACACTAGGCCAAGGGAAATACCCACTCTTACCTAAGATACAACTCCCTGTTACCCAAAAAAGGTTCGGAAGCCCACTCCAGTGGCCAAAGAAACCAAGCCTGAATGTCTAAAGGTAAAGGTAAAGGTACCCCTGCCCATATGGGCCAGTCTTGCCAGACTCTAGGGTTGTGCGCTCATCTCACTCTATAGGCCGGGAGCCAGCGCTGTCCGCAGACACTTCCGGGTCACGTGGCCAGCGTGACAAGCTGCATCTGGCGAGCCAGCGCAGCACACGGAACGCCGTTTACCTTCCCGCTGGTAAGCGGTCCCTATTTATCTACTTGCACCCGGGGGTGCTTTCGAACTGCTAGGTTGGCAGGCGCTGGGACTGAACGACGGGAGCGCACCCCGCCGCGGGGATTCGAACCGCCGACCTTTCGATCGGCAAGTCCTAGGCGCTGAGGCTTTAACCCACAGCGCCACCCGCGTCCCTAAGCCTGAATGTCTACCATAGGTTAATTAACCCTTCAATGCAGCCACACACTGTGCAAGGAGCAGGGCAGGCCTATCATAACGTGAGCCCGCCAAGAGCCCACCAGTTGTCTTTGTAAAGGCCTGGCCTGTTATTGCCACGGCATATTGATCTGGTGGAAGGATATGGAGAGAGAGAAAAGGATTGGGGGGGGGGGGCAAACGAACAAGAGATCAGATAGGAGGGTATATAAATTAAAACTAAAACCAGAACTCTTTAGTGAGATCAGTTAGGCCACAGTTGCAAATAGAGTCCAGAGGTTACTGAGGTACAAGAACTTCATCCATTGCAATGGATGTCTTGGGATGGGTCGTCTCGAAGCTCCAGTCTCACCCCGTTCCCAAGCTCTTGAGTTGCACACAAATCACATTAAGAGGCTAGTGTATAATACAGTGAAACGTCTTAAAAGCAAACTCTTTCCTCCATAAGAGATGTTTTCATGGTGTAGGTGGGTCTCCAAACAAGGGCACTGTTCAAGTTTACAGTACAGATGCTACTCAAAATGTTCGTTATGCTCCAGTGGTATGTCAGTGTAGGGACCTTGGCCTTTTCAGTGCAAGTTCTTCATATATGAATGTGGCATTAAAAAAATAAAGAAAAGAATTGCACGCTTTCTCTGTCACACACATGTAGTCGATGCACGCTTTTCCAAAGGCAATCCTTCCAAGTCACATCGCACAAATCACAGTCTATAAGGAATTCTTCCTACGTTTAGCACTGCTCGAGCATCTCGAACTATACTACCACACTGTGAAATGAGTGGCCACGGCACAATAGGACCCCGAAATAAGCAGAATTTGAAGAGCTATTGCCATATGCCAGTCTGAAATGAATGACCGTTGCACCATAGTACCCAGAAATGAACAATTTGAAGAGCTATTGCACACTGAGCGTGTGGAATGAATGGCAGTTGTCCAACACCACCCTGAAATGAGCAGAATTTGAAGAGGTACCATCCTGAAGCGGGAGGGACTTGGGCAATGCCGCTCTTGAATGCATGGCAGGTGTTCAAAAAGAGGGCAATTGAACATCTCTCTGCCCTTTCAATGGGAAAGGCTGGGCAGCCCCCATTCATTTCAATGATATCTTTATACCAACCCATCCTTCAGCTGCCTCCTCCATCCCGTGGATTGCACTTACTCTCTATTTGACAAAAAAACATACATTATCATCACCTGGCTCCTCCTCCCTTTTGGCAACTGTCCAACTTTTTTTAAAAAAAGGAAGAAAGAATAGGGCAAATAAATAAATAAATAAATAACATGGAGTCCAGAAAACCAGATGTGCGGGAAATGAAACAATTAAAAAAAAATCTTCAAGAACTTTAGAAACGCAAGCGTCAAAAATTGAAAGTTAACAAATATAGAATAATATGAACACAGTCTCGTAACCTTGCTCCACCCTGTTAAAAGTTCCTTCGTTCTCCCTAAGTACAATCCCAGAGCACCGTCGTCGGGCTAGCTTCTTCCTAGTTATTTTTGGCAAGTGGGGTTGGGGAATCAAAACAGCAAAGCCAGCACATTGGCGGATGCCCCAAAACCCATGCCGCTGAAGAGGGCAGGAGAACGTCAGAAGTGGTGGCACATAACCGGGCTGACAGAGCGAGGGGCCACTGAACATGTTAAGAGGGCTTGTGTTGCAGCCATCTTCCCTCCAGCCCTGTTTTATTTTTTTTAATTTTAAGGCATCCCTTTCAATAGACACCAGTGTGAGAGAGAGAAGTGCATCACCTCACGAATCTGTAAGAGTACGCTATAGGCTTGGTAAGAAGTTTTGGCTAATTGTGACATTCACAGCTTACATTCAGCTGTTGGTGCAACCGAAACAAGTGATCCTCCTGCCTGCCTTAGATGGGCTTTGTTTGTTTCTCAATTTCTTTCTTTCTTTCTTTCTTTCTTTCTTTCTTTCTTTCTTTCTTTCTTCTCGTTGTTTAAGCTCCATTGCAGGAGGTGGAACCAGAAGTCATGTCCAAACATGGAAGTAGGAGATTATTGAGTCCGGTCTTGACAGGACCAGGCAGAACCAGTCAGGTGATGATGAAAGAGATGGTGAAAACCAGTAGGGGCTCTTGGTGTTTCTTTCTTTCTCTTTTCTTTCTTAAAGAAGTGTGGTCTAAATCCCCATTTGGAGCTCCACCACAAGAACCAGAAATGGCCCCCTCAGAAAGTTATTACTAAAAATGTATGGACGCAGCATCAACGCCTTCATCACTCTCTTTCTTCACAAAGAATGGCTGCCGCAGGGGTCAGGCCAGGCTGGCTTTGCACTCCGACAGATGCTGCAGTCCCCTCGAGGCAAGGTGCGACCGGACTCTTTGTCAAAGACTCGTCGAGGACACCGATAGGGTAGGGGAGGAAGGGGGTGGGAAGTTGAGGAGTTCCAGCACAGCCACGCCCACGCTGCTGCGGCGGGTGAACATGCACGAAGCCGCCACCCACTTGTTGGTGCGCGGGTTGTACTTCTCAATGGAGTTGAGGCTGGAGCTGCCATCGTTGCCTCCCACTGCATATAGCCACCCATCCATAGCCACCAAGTCATGGGTGCTCCTGAGGAGAGAAAGTCAAACCAATAGGTTACCAGCTGCGTGGATAGTGCCATTCTGCAATTTGGCCACTAGGGGGCACTGGATTTAATTTGTACACAGGAAACAAAGCAGCAAATGACCAAACATGGCTTGCCACTCTTCTTGTTTTACGCTAGGGTTCACAACTAGGAATCTGGTCATCACGTCCAGTGGCGTAGCGTGGGGGGTGCAGGGGGGGCGGCCGCACCAGGCGCAACATCTGGGGGGGGCGCGCTCGCACTCGCAGCTCTCTGCCCCTACCTGGCTCACTCACTCTCACTGCAGTGCTGGCTGTGCGAATCCGATCCGAGCCGCTGGGTCGCCGCCCACTGTGGAGGGGGGGTGCCAGGCGTGCGGTTAGGGGGCGCAAATTACTTGCCTTGCCCCGGGTGCTGACAACCCACGCTACGCCACTGATCACGTCCCCTGACTTTTTTCTCCATGGACCACTTGTAGAGTTGCAAAATATTCAGAAAAGGGTGACTGAAATGATCAAAGCGGTGGAGCGACTCCCGTATGAAGAAAGGTTGCAGCTGCTGGGACTTTTTAGTTGGTGAACAAGAGGAGACGTGATAGAAGCTTGTGAAATGACACATGGTGTGGAGAAGGGGCACAGGGAAATGTTTTCCGCCCTCTCTCACCACACTAGAACTTATGGACATCCAATGAAGCTGAATGTTGGAAGTTCCAGGACAGATACAAAAAAGCATTTTATCGCACAGCTCATGGTTAAACTATGGCACAGGAGTCAATGATGGCCACCAACCTAGATGGCTATTAAAGAGGATTAGACAAATGCACGGAGGATAGGGTGATGAATGGCTGCAATTGCTGATGACTGTGCTCTGCCTCAACGGTCAGATGCAGTGATGCTTCTGAATACAGTGGTAAAGGTAAAGGTAATGGTACCCCTGCCCGTACGGGCCAGTCTTGACAGACTCTAGGGTTGTGCACCCATCTCACTTAAGAGGCCGGGGGCCAGCGCTGTCCGGAGACACTTCCGGGTCACGTGGCCAGCGTGACAAAGCTGCATCTGGCGAGCCAGCGCAGCACACGGAAACGCCGTTTACCTTCCCGCCAGTAAGCGGTCCCTATTTACCTACTTGCACCCGGGGGTGCTTTCGAACTGCTAGGTTGGCAGGCGCTGGGACCGAGCAACGGGAGCACACCCCGCCGCGGGGATTCGAACCGCCGACCTTTTGATCGGCAAGCCCTAGGCGCTGAGGATTTTACCCACAGCGCCACCCGCGTCCCTGAATACAGTGGTACCTCGGGTTAAGTTCTTAATTCGTTCCAGAGGTCCGTTCTTAACCTGAAACTATTCTTAACCTGAAGCACCACTTTAGCTAATGGGGCCTCCTGCTGCCGCCGCACCGCCAGAGCACGATTTCTGCTCTCATCCTGAAGCAAAGTTCTTAACCTGAAGCACTATTTCTGGGTTAGCGGACTCTGTAACCTGAAGCGTATGTAACCTGAGGTACCACTGCACCAGATGCCAGAAACCGCAGGAGGGGAGAGGGCTCTTGTGCTCTGGTCTTGCTTGTGGGTTTCACATAACAGGGTTGGCAACTTTGAGAACTGGATAATAGACTAGATTGGCCTGAGCCAGTGAGCTGTTAGTACATTCACTTGAACATTGTTGAGGGTCTTGACAGACCACTTACTGACTTTTTCCGCCTGCCGTAGCAACTGCAGTACACTGCTCAAGGTGATTTTTAATTGCATTTTTTACAGGCATGTCGCATACCACCTGAATGAAGCGCATGAACCTTCATTCAGTTTGGGAATCCCTGCCCTGAGGGGCGGCTTGTGACACTGCAGCTCATCCGCAGCCTCTCTTGGGGATATGCTGCTCCCTACCTCCGGATGTTCATGGGTGCCACACTTTCCCAAGTGTTCGTTTTTGGATTGTAGCGCTCCACCGAGTTAAGGCAACTTGTCCCGTCATTGCCTCCTGCCACGTACAGCATCCCTTCCAAAACAGCCACGCCGGCACTGCTGCGGCGGCTCAGCATGTTGGCAATTGGAGTCCATGTATTGATCTGGCAGGAAACAGCAAAGGAAACATATACATACATACATACATATCCATAGATTAAAAAGAGCAATCATATAAAACTTAAAAGTATAACTCAGCCACACTACATAGATACCTGGAGCAACAATGGCTATGTTCTATCTTCACCGTCAGAGGCAGGGTGCATCTGAATACCAACTGCTAGGAGCCGCTATTGGGGAAATGCTGCCGGGCTCAGGTCCTGCTTTTGGATATCCCAGAGGCATTTGGCTGGCCACTGTGATAACAGGATTCAGGACTACATGGGCCTAAGACAGGGTTCTTCTTATGAGCCACACAAGGGGCTGACTCCCCTGCTTGATTTGCTCACCAAACCCCCTACCCCCACTCCACGTGCTGCCCCTCTCGCTTGCTGCTGCAAGCCCACGTCGCTTGGCTATTATGCCCATGGCTCACTTGCCCTCTTCAGCTCACTGCTGCAAGCCCTGCTTGCTCGGCCGCTGCCCCTCTTGCTCTCACGCCACCTGCCCCCCCTTCTTGCAGGCCTCCTCCCACCACAAGCCCAGCTCACTCACCTGCAGCCCCACTCACTCACCCCACCACCCGTTGTCTCCAATCTGCCCCACAACCTGGAGCATGCTCAGTCCATCGCCAGCATGGTGATGGACTCACACAAATACAGTACAGTATATGGATAGGTTATTTTCTCCTTTTGGGTGTAGTGTGCCCCACGGAGGACCTTAAGGTCCATAAATAGCAACACCCTAGAGGTTCCAGGCCCTAAGGAAGTTAGATTAGCCTCAACCAGAACCAGGGCTTTTTCAACACTGGCTCCGGCCTGGTGGGACGCTCTGTCTCATGAGACCAGGGCCCTGCAGGATCTGATTTCTTTCCGCAGGGCCTGTAAGACAGAGTTGTTCCACGTGGCCTTTGGCTTGGAGTCCATTTGATTCCCTCCCCCTCTTTCTTTTTCCTTTCTCCTGTGATGAGGCTGCATTTTAACGTTTTAATGTTGTCTTTTAATCTTGTTTTTTAAGTTGTATTCATTCAACTTGTTTTTATTATTGCTTGTTAGCCACCCTGAGCCTGGCCTTGGCTGGCAAGGGCGGGGTATAAATAAAATTTATTATTATTATTGGTAGTAGTAGTAGTAGTAAAGGCACACACTGGAAGGCAGAAGTCCTGCAGGGCTTTTGGTCACCTGCTGCTCGTAAGTTCTCATTGCAATTCATCTTTGCAGCCTGCCCCCCCCCCCAATTTTCCTTCTGGCCCACTCTCAGTGGCTTCATCACCACCCCAGCTGTGGTATATCCAAAACTTCCCATTCTTCTCCCAATAACCCTCAGTGCTTTGCCTCTTCCTGTTTACCTGTGGCTCATATTTTTCCACAGTTGCCAGGTGTGATGAACTATCATATCCCCCAACAGCATAGAGGTTGCCATCTGCAGAAGAAGATGAAAAACACACACACATAAAACCCATGCATAAATATGCAGCAAAGCAAGAATCCCACCCCAAAACACACATTCAGTCCATACATTTGAAGCACGTGCCTTTCCCAAAAGAAACCTGGGAACTGTAGTTTGACAAGGGTGCTGGGAGTGGTAGCTCTGTGAGGGGTAAACGACAGTTCCAAGCCTTGGAACGAGTGCTAGGCCCAATAAAAAGATAAGTGTACAGAAAAACACCAGGCCACAAGGACTGAGCAGTCAAGGCAGGCTCCTCTGGGGAGAGATTACCTCATGGAGCATGAAAACACACACACACACACACACACACACACACACGAGACGTTCCTTCCGGCCACTTTGCAGAGGCTTCATCTGGTGCAAGGGGACATTAAACATTCACAAGGCAGCTTCTGAACTGTTCCGTGCGAGCGAGGCAGCAGCCTAAACAAGGCCGCCTGCTGTTAGGATTAAGTTTGCTTTTTGGACAGGTGCAGAGCAAGTGGCAGGCCAGGCATGCGGTGCCATGACGACAGCAGGCGGCACGCATGAGTGGAAGGGGAATGACTAAGAAGTCCCTGGGGCTTGGAGGTCAGCAAACTGGAGCGGAAGGAAGAACGCATGGCAGACGCAAAAAAAAGAAAATCTGTACAGAAAGCCCAAAAGGAGCCATTCCACAGCTGAGGTTCTCCGTCAAGCAGCCATGGAACTTACTGTGGTGCTTAGTGCTTCAAAGCAGGGGTTGGTTTCAACCCAAGGGCCACAATCCCTTCGGGGCAGCTTTTCAGGGGCCACATCCCATTGGAAGGCGGAGCCAAGGACAAAAGTGGGCCAGCATACTGGATAAAACTATTTCACACAATTGCTTTGGGAAAGTGCCAAGCCTGTTATGCTGGTATGTTCTTAGAACAGCAAGTGTTTTCTCTCTCTCTCTCTCTCTCTCTCTAATTTTTAAGCCAGACTTACCAAGAGTTGCCACGCGGACGTATCTCCTTCTGGTGCTCATGGCTGCGATGGATGTCCAGGTGCCTGTTAGGGGGTCATATCTTTCAGCACTGAGGCAGGTCAAGAGAGAGGAATAAGTAGAATATGGTCAATAGAGTTATGGTGACCAAACAGATGCATTGTAAAACAAAAAAACAGAAAGAGGGATGGTATAGCAGTAGACAAGTTTTTGGAGAACTTTAATTATTGGAAAGTGAACTTTTAAGATAATATGTATACAAGTCATAATCAAAGTAGATCTGTGGAAATTAATGGACTTATTGGTCAAGTCCATTAACTTCAACGGGTTGGCTCTGAGTAGGACTAGTATTGGATGCAACCCAACCATCCACCCATAGGCAATTCTCAACTTACACAGAGGTTACATTCTGGGGATAGCTCATAAAGTCAAAATACATTGGGTGCAATGGTGGGTGGGGTTGCCAGAGGGTTCCCCCCACTTTTAAATCTTTTGTTATCTTCTTGTCAAGCGCATAAAGCTGAATGCGCAGAAGTTAAAGGTGCGTAAGTTGGAGTTGCCTGCATATATTCTCTTATTTAAGAAATATGGTCAGATGGCATTTTCCCTAGCTGTAAGGAATTTGTAATTTCAATTGTATTCGGTTGTATCCAACTAGGTTTTACTCAAGAGTGGAACCCCTGAAATTAGCAGACCTAAATTAGCCCTGTTCGTGAATTTCAACGGGTTTGCATCACACCGGGGCCACATTCACACCATACATTTAAAGTGCTGTGATACCACTTTAAACAGCCATGGCTTCCCCCCCAAAAGAATTATGGGTGCTGTAGTTTGTTTAAGGGTGCTGAGAGTTGTCAGGAGACCCCCTATTCCCCCCAACTAAGCTACAACTCCCAGAGTTCCCTAAGAAGAGTGATTGATTGTTAAACCACTCTGGGAATGAGGGGGGCAAGGTGAATGGCAAATAAGCCAATAAGCCCTCTTACCTGTTGAGGCACGAGGCTCCATCATACCCTCCAGCAGCGTAGAGGAGTCCATGCAGTGCTGCCACCCCTAAACAGCTCCGCCTGGTCCCCATGGAAACCTCCGTCTGCCACGAGTTGGTGACGGGATCGTAAGACTCCACTGTGGCCAAGTCAGAGGTCCCATCGTAGCTGCAGTGAAACAGAGCCAGTGTTACTATTGAATATATTAACATATTTATAGTTTTAGAATTTTGAAATAATTCTCTGTAAAATATCATTTGATAAAATTATAAAAAATACTACAAACATTTTCCAGCATAAAAAATATATTATTGAGATGTATATATTTAGGACCTACCCTGTTCTTCTGGTTTTAAACTGTTTTTAATGTTGTTGTTTTAAATTGTTGTGACATGCCCTAGGACATTAGGGTAAAGGGCAGAAAATAAATAACAGCAGCTGGCTAGTTCAATGTTCTTATGCTCTGACTGGCAGCAGCTGAAGAATTGTGCATGCACACGAAAGCTCATACCAGTAACTAACTTAGTTGGTCTCTAAGGTGCTACTGGAAGGAATTTTTTTATTTTGTTTTGACTATGGCACACCAACACGGCTACCTACCTGTAACTGGCAGCAGCTGTCCAGGTTCTCAGACATGAGATCTTTTAAAATGGAGACGTTAGGAAAATGCAGTCTGAATAATGACACCCCTCCCAATCATCTCTGCCTTTTGCCGCTAGCTCCTAAATCAGGATACTGTACATGGGTTGCATCCAACTAAGTGCTACTCAGAGTAGACCCACTGAAATGAATAAATCTAAGTTAGTCATGTCCCTTAACTTCAATAGGTCTACTCTGATTAGATCTAACATTGGAGACAACCAAATGCTAATAAGAATAAGAATAATACATAATTATCACTTCATACCAAAATGGGTATCGAATCCCCGCGGCGGGGTGAGCTCCCGTCTACGGTCCCAGCTCCTGCCCACCTAGCAGTTCGAAAGCACCCCTAAAAGTGCAAGTAGATAAATAGGTACCGCTTTAAAAGCGGGAAGGTAAATGGCGTTCCGTGTGCTGCGCTGGTGCAGGCTCGCCAGAGCAGCGGTGTCACACTGGCCACGTGACCCGGAAGTGTCTGCGGACGTCGCCGGCTCCCAGCCTCCAGAGTGAGATGAGCGCACAACCCTAGAGTCTGTCAAGACTGGCCCGTATGGGCAGGGGTATCTTTAACTTTACCAAAATGGGCTTTTAAGGGGCTTACAAGTTATAAAAAAGACAGCTACACAAACATATCAACATCCACAACTAAAATGCACAGTAAAAGAATCCCATTAAAACAATAAAACCTAAACATTCACAATCAAAACAAGGGTTTACCTCTCTGCTTGTGGATAAATGACAGGATATTTATGATATAAATACGGTCATTGGCCTTATAAGTACAGTGGTACCTTGGTTTACGAACTTCATCCGTTCCGGAAGTCCGTTCTTAAACCAAAGCATTCTTAAACGAAGGTGTGCTTTCCCATAGTAGCAGGGGACTCAATTTACAGTTTACACTCAACAGGAAGCGAAACATGTTCTGCTTCCAAGGCAAAGTTCACAAAACACCTACTTCTGGGTTTGCAGCATTCTTAATCCAAGTTGTTCATAAACTAAGCTGTTCTTAAACCAAGTTACCACTGTATTTCTTTTTTCTTTCTTTCCTTTCTTTTTTCCCTTCTGGTTTCTAAAATATTATTCTGTATATTAGTTTGATTCTTATTGTATTTTATGTTGAAAATTTTCAATGAAAAATATATTTAAAAAAACAAACATCCCCAATCAAAATAAACAATTAAACCAACATAGCAATTAAAACAGGGCACTCTGGTCAAGAGATCAGAGTAATGCCTGTGTAAACAGGTGTGTCTTCAAAAGCTGGCAGATGCAACAGGGAATGCGTTCCATAACACTGGAGCTACCAATGAAAACGTCTGCTTCCGCGTTACCACTAGCCGATAATCACCAGGCCGGTTTCCATAAATACGAAATTCTCCCCCCCCCCCATCTATTGCTCCCTTGAAATTATGTGATGACAGCCATGGGGGTGGGGTGGGAGGGTGTGAGAATGGCCAAGAATTCTTCCTTACCCGCCCACAGCATACAGCTTGTTCCCAATGGCAGCAACGCCCACCCTGGCCCGGCGAGTGGACATCGAAGCCACCATGTGCCAGCGGTCTGTCCTGGTGTCGTAGGCCTCACAGTCACCATGGATGGCAAAGAGGCTGCCGCCACCTGCATGAAAACAGAAAGCGGGGAGAAAGTGACAAGCTGGAAGGCCAGGGGGTAAGGCCAAGGGGCTTTCTGCAAGCTCATCTTGGGGCTCAGTTCACACAGCTGTTTTTGAGGCAGCCTCCTGTCAGGACTGGGCTATAGGCAGTCCGTAGGAGGTGAGCCTGAAGGCTGCCCCCGGCAAGTCAGTGGTTTGCAAATGTCTGGCTCTTAGCCTTTGACTCCTGGCACCTGATAAGCTGCTGATTAGGTGGGCTGCAAAATGCTTGGGGTGCAAAGTAGGCCAAATTAGGGGTACAGCCTGGGGAAAGAGCCACACAGAGAATCTGGAGGACTAGAGCTTGTAGGGCAGCAGCTGAAGAAGGAGCAAAAAGGGTTTTCTTGGGTGTGTGTGTTTCTTTGTGGCTGATTAGCTGCTCTCCCTGTGCAAAGGTCAGAGGGGGCAGGGCGGCGCGCACAGTTTGATCCATCTTTCAGATTTAGGGGAGCTAGTCTCAAACGTTTGTTGGGGGAGACCTAGGGGTGTTTTTTAGGGGGGTTATTTGTCTTGTCTTCATGCTTTTTAAGATGGAGGACCACTGTAGCCACCCCCAACGACACGTTTTCAAGATGGAGGGTGAGGGAACAGCTGCAGTCGCCTGCGGTTCCTGCGCAATGTTTGCCATCTTGCCAAAGGTTGCAGGCAGCTTTACCTGCAGCAATTGTATGTTGATTGCCCTCTTAAAAGACAAAGTCCATCAACTGGAGGAACGTGTAGCTACGCTCCAAAGAATTAGAGAGCTGGAGCTCTTCTTGGAAGCAACAGAGAACACCGTCTCCACCAAGGAGGAGACAGGGGACACCCCTGAGAAGGAGGCTAGTTCACCAACACAGGTGCCAGATATATGGAGAAACGTGACTCAAAGAAGTAGGAGGCCCAGGGTTCGCTCTGATTGTTTAGAAATACACAATCGCTTTGAAGTCCTCTCCCCTAGCATGGAAGACGAAGAACGGACTCCATTTGAGGATCTCTCCCTCATTACAGTTGATCAGGTATATGAAGACGAGCAGCAAAGTCAGTCCTCAGGGAATGTGCAGGCGACCTTGGAACGGACAGCTCACGGAAGAACCCCAACCAAACCTAAGAGGAGGCGTGTAGTGGTGATAGGGGATTCCCTACTGAGGGGAACAGAAGCAGTGATCTGTGGGCCTGACAAGATGTCTCGGGAGGTGTGCTGTCTCCCCAGGGCTAAGATCCAAGATGTAACTGAACGACTGCAAGGAATCATAAAACCCACTGACAAATACCCCTTCCTCTTGGTTCATGTGGGAACCAATGACACTGCAAGCAATAGCCTCCAGAAGATCAAAAGAGACTACGAGGCTCTGGGCAGGAAATTGAAGCAATTAAATGCACAAATTGTCATCTCATCTGTCCTCCCAGTTGAATGACGTGGCCCAGGGAGAGAGGGAAAAATATTGGAAGTGAACAGCTGGCTTCGCAATTGGTGTAAAAAGAAACTGTTTGGATTCTTAGATCACGGACTGCAGTTTCTTGAAAATGGACTTCTGACAAGCGATGGGCTGCACCTCACAGCGGTTGGGAGGAATGTTTTTGCCAAAAATCTCAGAAACCTCATCAGGAGGGCTTTAAACTGAATAATGTGGGGGAGGGAGACAGTGCACCTGAAGGTAGGAGTCTATCAATTGATGAAGAAGATCATCCAAATGTCATAGACCGAATGGAGCAAACAGCATGCAGACCTAGTGGTGGGAGGAAAAAATCCTTAAATAAGAGACACGTGGGAATGATTAATGGACTTCAGTGTCTGTACACTAATGCGCAAAGCATGGGAAATAAACAAGATGAGCTTGAGCTCTTGGTACAGCAAACTAAATATGACATAATAGGCATCACTGAAACCTGGTGGGATAAGTCCCACGATTGGAATGTAATAATGGAGGGATACAATCTATTTCAGAGAAACAGACCAGACAAGAAAGGAGGAGGAGTGGCGTTATATGTCAGGGATGTGTATACCTGTGAAGAGATCCAAGATTTAACCTCAAAGCCAAAGTGAGAGCATTTGGGTCAAAATTAAGGGAGAGAAGAATAACAGAGACCTCATTGTGGGAGTTTACTATAGATCCCCAAGCCAAACGGAGGACATAGATGATGCCTTCCTGGAACAGATGGCCAAGCATGCAAAAGGAAGGGAGATAGTAGAAATGGGGGACTTCAATTACCCGGATATTTGTTGGATGTCAAACTCAGCCAAGAGCATAAGGTCAAACAGATTCCTCACTGGCCTTGCAGACAACTTCATTGTCCAGAAAGTGGGAGAAGCAACAAGAGGAACAGCCATTTTAGATCTGGTCCTAACCAATGTTGAGGACCTGGTTAGTGGGGTAGAAGTGGAAGGATCATTAGGCGCGAGTGATCATGCTGTTCTGAAGTTTACTATACAGCGGAAAGGAGCAGCCAAGCATACTAGGACTCAATTTCTTGACTTTAAGAAAGCCGACTTCATAAAACTTAGGGAAGTGCTGGGTGAGATCCCATGGACAGTAATACTAAAAGGAAAGGGAGTTCATGATGGCTGGGAGTTTGTTAAGAGGGAGATAGTAAAAGCACAACTTCAGGCAATACCAATGAGACGGAAACATGGAAGGTGCCTAAAGAAGCCAGGGTGGCTATCTAAAGAACTTTTAACTGAGTTAAGATTTAAAAAGGATGTGTACAAAAAATGGAAAAGGGGGGAAACCACCAAAGAGGAATTCAAACAAATAGCCAGCACGTGTAGACACAAAGTCAGAAAAGCTAAAGCACAAAATGAACTCAGGCTTGCTAGAGAGGTTAAAAGCAACAAAAAAGGCTTTTATGGGTATGTCCGTAGCAAAAGGAAGAACAAAGAAACAGTGGGGTCACTCAGAGGAGAAGATGGTGAAATGCAAACAGGGGACACAGAAAGGGCTGAACTCCTCAATGCCTTCTTTGCCTCAGTCTTCTCCGATAAAGAAAACAATGCCCGACCTGAAGAATTTGGAGCAAATGATTCAGCAGAGGAAACACCGCCCAGAATAACTAAGGAGATAGTACAAGAATACTTGGCTAGTCTAGATGTATTCAAGTCTCCAGGGCCAGATGAACTGCATCCAAGAGTATTAAAAGAACTGGCAGATGTGATTTCAGAACCACTGGCAGTCATCTTTGAGAATTCCTGGAGAACAGGCGAAGTCCCGGCAGACTGGAGGAGGGCAAATGTTGTCTCTATTTTCAAAAAGGGGAAAAGAGAGGACCCAAATAATTATCGCCCAGTCAGTCTGACATCAATACCAGGGAAGATTCTGGAGCAGATCATTAAGCAAACAGTCTGTGAGCACCTAGAAAGGAATGCTGTGATCACCAATAGTCAGCATGGATTTCTGAAAAATAAGTCATGTCAGACTAACCTGATCTTGTTTTTTGACAGAATCACAAGCCTGGTAGATGAAGGGAACGCAGTGGATGTAGCCTACCTTGATTTCAGCAAGGCATTTGACAAGTTGCCCCATGATATTCTTGTAAAGAAGCTGGTAAAATGCGGTCTTGACTATGCTACCACTCAGTGGATTTGTAACTGGCTGACTGACCGAACCCAAAGGGTGCTCATCAATGGTTCCGCTTCATCCTGGAGAAGAGTGACTAGTGGGGTGCCACAGGGTTCTGTCTTGGGCCCGGTCTTATTCAACATCTTTATCAACGACTTGGATGATGGACTCAAGGGCACCCTGATCAAATTTGCAGATGACACCAAACTGGGAGGGGTGGCTAACACCCCAGAGGACAGGATCACACTTCAAAACGACCTTGACAGATTAGAGAACTGGGCCAAAACAAACAAGATGAACTTTAACAGGGAGAAATGTAAAGTATTGCACTTGGGCAAAAAAAATGAGAGGCACAAATACAAGATGGGGGACACCTGGCTTGAGAGCAGTACATGTGAAAAGGATCTAGGAGTCTTGGTTGACCACAAACTTGACATGAGCCAACAGTGTGACGCGGCAGCTAAAAAAGCCAATGCAATTCTGGGCTGCATCAATAGGAGTATAGCATCT